GCCTCTACTCATGAAGATGGATTTCCAACAAAAGGAAGGATTCTAGAATGCTCTAATGGTGTTTGGAAAGGATGAAAAGCAGTACTTAAGGAGAGAGGCAAAGTGTGGCTTTTATGGGGAGGAGCATGGCTCCTGGGACCAGGAAGGTGAAGGCCAGTGTGCTTTGCTAGAACACTTCTTCAAGTTTTTGCTAGTGTTAGCATTCCTTCTGGCCTGGGGCTGACTCTGTAGGAAGGCAGAGACCTCAGCACTAGAATGGGAATCAGTTTCAATGACTCAGGATCATCTCACTGAAGGTGACTAAGCCAGCACCCCACTCACCTCTCCTGAGACTTTCTGTTGACAGCTTTCAGTCCACTGGGCATGTTATTGTCAGGAACGAAGAGTGTTAATTTGTGCCTATTTAGATCTGGTACAAGCTTGGGGTAAGAAGAGAGGACTTCTTCACTAAACTGCAGCTTCTGAATAAACAAGGATTAATGGTTTGAATCCCACCCAGTTTTTGAACCTCTAATTCTGCTTGATTTCTTTCTGTTCAACTCTAAGCAGGGTGGTGAGCTAGGCACTCTAAGGAACCCAGAACAGGAAGTATGGGGCTTCTGTCCTCCATACTTTCATGCCTCTCAGGTGAGGGGAATCTAAAACCTTTTGCACTGGGGGTTGGGGACACTCCACAGGAGCAGCTACTTGCTCTGTACAGACCAGACCTGGCTCTCAAAGGCTGCTCTCTCTCAGCAATTCAATCATAGTAACCTCTCTCTTCTAATCAGCAGAGCAGAAAATTGATTATAAGTAGAATCATCTGTGTCCCCTCTGCTCCTCACCCCCACAGGAATCTTACAACTTCAGGCCTTTGGTTCCCATCTACCCAAGAATGTGGTAGAAGGTAGGGTCGGGTTTTGTACAAAGCAAGATGCTATCTGAAACAGCTTTCTACAGGTGTTACCTTCAAGGGCTCACTTCTAGGACAAGTTTTTGACCCAGGCTCGTTTAAGAAAGCTAGTTGGCCTCACAGAGCTAAAAGGGTGTCTTGTTTATCTATAGTCCACAGGGACTGGAGTCTGGTGGTGACACCTCAGCCTGACTTTCAGCATACTGCTTCTATGTTTCTTTGGTTACTTTTGCCTGGTTCTGCCTAAGACTCCCCCTCCCCATTTAAGACGTGGCCACACCGCTTGTTTCTGGATTGTTTTGTTAATCTGAAAATCCCTCAACAACTAGAAAACCCTGTGAGATGGTGGCGACAATATCCAGCTTCCTGGGGCACAGAGGCAGCCCTGATTCTACATGGCCAAACCCCCAAGGGGGGAATCAAGACCTGTCTCTGCAGATACTTTGCTTTGCAGTAAGGTTCCATATGGGCTGAAATTACAAATGCTTGGACACTCTGGGTTTGTGAGAAGGAGACTGGCAGTCTCAGGTGCTAGCCAGGGCATAAGGGCTGGGCGTCACAGACCCTAAGGGAGTCCATCAGTATGAAGCTTACATATTGTTGCTGAGCCAGAAAAGCAGGGAGAATGGCAGAAAGGTCAGGAAGAAAAGGAAGGATACAGGAAAAGAAGTGGAAAAGATTCAGCCATAAAAGAGTTTTTGCATTCTCTTGTTTCCCAGAAAGCAGGTTCTAGGTGAGAATTCAGAATCCTTACTCTTTTTTTCTTTTTTTGGGGGGTGGGTGGTCAGCCTCTAAAATTGGACTTAATTATAGGCCACTGCAGGATTTACAAAACAAAGAACAGTATTTGCTTTACCTCCAAAAATTCAGAACTCTCCTCTGGGAAGTCTTCCTAAAATTGGTCAGCTACTATCCTGCATTATCAGAATCATAGGCCACCATGAGCCTTCTGGCAAGTGGCTAGGTGTCTCTGGTATAGCCCAAACCTTCCCTGAATGTGGTCCTCACAAAGTACTCTGTTTATTTGGTTACATTGGGAAATGTGCAGAGTATGACGTTTATCTCCATTAGTCTAAGGTTCTGGGAAGATAATGCAATCAAATTAGCTAAGGAAGTCTTTGTTCACTCCAAAGAAATTGAACTAGTCTGGTCAGCTTGCTAAGAAGTATCTATTGTGGGTTGGGGATGTAGCTCAGCTTGTAGAGTGTTTGCTAAGCATGCACATAAGCAAGAGGATGCCCCTCTGATAGGCTCTTGAACAACAGCCTGGGACTCTAACACTTTTCTCCAGTACAAAAGACTGAACCTGGTTTTCTAGCGGTTGTCTCTTGCAAAGAAATGTCCAAGAACTTTTGCATCTGTCTTTCTGTGTGTGTGTGTGTGTGTGTGTGTGTGAGAGAGAGAGAGAGAGAGAGAGAGAGAGAGAGAGAGAGAGAGAGAGAGAAGAGAAAAGCGCCCCTCGCGTGCCACACACACACACACACACTCTTTTAAAGAACTTTTGCATCTGTCTTTCTGTGTGTGTGTGTGTGTGTGTGTGTGAGAGAGAGAGAGAGAGAGAGAGAGAGAGAGAGAGAGAAACCAGAAGATAGCCTCAAGTGTCACTTCCACAATACCACCCACTGTTTTTTGAGATAGGGTCTCTCACTGGCCTGGAACTCACCAAGTAGCTTTAGCTGATTGGCCAGCAAGCCCCACCTGTCTCTGTTTCCCCAGCAACGGAGTTAAAAGCTTGTGTTAGTTAACACTCTTGGCTTTTTTAAAACATGAGTCTTTTTGTTTTGTTTAGTTTGTTTTTTTGTCTTTTTGAGACAGGATCTCCCTGTAGCCCCAGCTGGCCTGGAACTTGCTATGCAGACCAGGCTGGCCTTGAACTCACAGATATCTGCCTGCCTCTGCCTCCTGAGTGCTGGGATTAAAGGTGTGTGCCACCACACCCAGTCTAAAACATGGATTTTTATAGTGGAACAGGGGGTAGAGAGAATAATAATGGATCCCTCAACGCTCACCATCGAAGCTTCCACATACAACAGAGTACAATGCACCCAGAAGGCCACAACTGGCCAAGGTATAGAGAATAAGATTGCAGAGAGTGTGTTCCTGGATAGGATTCCTATATTAAACCTCACCCACCCATAGCTCTGGGACCATTGTGGAAGAGGGGAGTGGAAAGATTGTAAAAGCCAGGGTTGGTGCATGAGCATAAGGAAATAGTCTTCCAGGCCTCTGGGAACTTGCTCGTATGAACTTGCGGCAATGGTGACAGCATGCACAAGACCCATGCAAACTCAATCAGACAATCAGACAACACCCTCCCACCCTCCACCCCCACATAGAACTTGGGAAATGGGCAGCAGTACCCAACCTTAGCTGAGGAACTATTGGCAACTGATTACTGCAGGGTGAGGGAGAGCTGATCTTCTTTAAGGGAGTGACTCTAGATAGGCTGACTAGACTCCAGTGGAAGGACTTGTACCAAGGGACATCTGGGTACAAAAGCTTGACTCAGTAGGCCTTAACATATATGACAGAATGCATGAAATCTGGTGGGAGGGTTATAGGGATGGGGGAAAGTGTCTAAATATGATTAAGATTTATTGTATGATATGCACAAAAATTCAATGAAAATATACATTAAAAAGAAAAAATAAATGGGTCCTCATGCTTGCAAGGTAAGCAGTTTACCAACTGAGCTATTCCCTGGGCTTTTTGATTCTTATTCTAGGAATGGTGTGTATTCCACAGTCTACTGCATGTTTTGTAATATAAAGATGTGCCCACACAATGGGGCTGGAGAGATGGCTCAGTGGTTAAGAGCACCAGTTGCTCTTGCAGAGAACCTGCGTTTAAGTCCCAGCACCCACACTGCAGGTAACAACTATTTGTAACTCCAGTTCTAGAGGATCCAATGCCCTTTTCTAGCCTCCACAGGCATTGCATGACACCGGTGCACTTACATACACACAGGCAATACACTCATACACATAAAAAATAAAAATAATAAATAAAATACTAAAGAAAAGATGTGCCTACACAAATATGGAAGTACAACAGAGATTCTAGAAAGATCCATCAGATTTCTCCTGACACTTCATCACTGTCTTTCTTCAGGAACCTTCTATATTCACTTAGAAGCCTCAAACTTGAGCCTTTCTTCTCTCTGGCACAAAACCAGATAACATCATCTTTATCAAATCATACAGGAACCATCTGTTCTCCAATAGCCATGCTCACATCTTACTAGTTTCAGTATTACCTAGAGGATTCAGCCAAAAGAGACTTTTTGCATTCTCTTTTGGTTTCCAGAAAGCAGGTTCTGGGTGAGAATGCACCTACTTGTGAACCTGGGGAAGTGAGCTTTTTCTCTGGGTCTGACCTCTCTTCTTAAAGAGTGTCTTAAAGAGATCCTTGGATTTTCAGTAACAGGTGAGTTGATGTGGGCTTTATGAAATCTTAATGTGGGTTAGCCCTATGGCTGTGAGCACACAAATAGGAAAGGCAGAGATGTCTGTATGTTTGGAGGAGGGGGAGCACTATCCAAGAGCACAGACGTATCTCCTTCTTGGGGCCTGTAAGAAGATACCCAGAGACCTTTGCTCCACAGATCTTCCTACCAGAAGCAAACACTCTATGTTCCCCCTCCTCCTATCCTATGCCCACAAATACATCCCTCCTCTCACTTAGTGGTTCTTAACCTAACATGAATGTTCCTCTTGCAAATCACACCAACCTGTGCATCTTCTTTCTAGCACGTTTGCGCCCCTATGTATGTACCATTTAGGTGCCCCTTGGAGTCTCCTGTCTGGGATGAAGGTCTTTGGTGGAGAGAGATAGTTGGGACCAGAAGCCCCTGATGAGTTTTGGAAGCTTTATGTAGGATGGGGCCAGGTTTAAATGAAGTTGGGCACTCCAGTTCAAAGGTTTTCTGGACTCAGGGTGGACGACGTTAGAGGATATAGCATTCCCTGAAGGACACCTGACTCCTTTAAGGAATGGTTTACAAGGATGTGCTCTGGGGTTTCCTTGGGGCATTTACACGCAGGACCCAGTGCTTCTCCCATCTCAGCTGTTGCATACAGCCCCTTTTCAAAGTCTTTTGATTTCTTACCCTTCCCCTCGGTCTGGTGGTTCCTGGCTACCTGGGTTGGACTGGGCATTGCTCTCCTGGCTGGCTGCCTCTTTAAGCTCAGCTCCACGGAAACGATCCAAGAAGGAGTCAGGTCTCTGGTCCTCCTGGTGTACGTGCCTGGCGGCCCATGCTCGCAGTGAGATAATGAAGCGTGCCACCCTGGAAGGGAAACAGAAGGCAGTGACCAGAGAATGAAGGGAAAGAAGAGCTCTCTTTCAGGCCTCACGGTCCCAGGAGAAGCAGAGGTAATCAGCAGAGGTGGGTCTTGGGGTCTGTGGCTCAAGCTTGCCTCTCTACTCAGGCCTTTTCTTCCTTTCTTCCTTTACCCCTGCAGTCTGGGGCAGTCTCCTTGATCAGAGACGCTATATCTCTGTTATGGCTTTGCCCATCCAATTTTCCCATGGTCATGCTCCTTCCAATGGGGCATCATCAAGCATCTTTACTCCTTTTGCCCAAAGCAGAACTCTTGTTAAAACTGCTAAATGTAGGAACATTAAAACTAATACCTATGGTTTGAATATGAAATGTCCCCCATAGGTTCATGTGTTGGGATATTGGTCCCTAGCTCTTGACATTCATTGAGAAGGTTGTGGAACTTTTAGGAGATGGGCACTTGCCAGAGCAAGTGGGTCACTGGGGATGGGCCTTTCCTCAGGCTGGTGCAGAAGTCCTTTGCAATGTGGACTGATCCTTCTCCTAGAACTAGAATCTGCAGGGAGCTGGCTATGGGCTCAGCCTTTGCAACTGTAGCCCATGTCTCCAGAGCATTCCTTTGGGAAGCCTGCCGAAGAGCTGCCTCCTACCTTCTGTGTCTCACCAGAGGGGAGTGAGAAGACAGGCCCAACCCTGTTTCTCTGCTTTAAAAAAAAATACTTTTATTTATGTATATTTGTATGTACCATATATGTGCAGATGCTCCCAGAGGCCAGAAGAGAGTATTGGATTCCCCAGAGCTAGAGTTATAGGTAGTTGTGAGCTACCTAATATGGGTGCTGGGAAGCAAGCCTGGGTCCTCGGCAAGAACAGCAGGTGCTCTTAACTTCTAACCCATGACCCAGCCATCCCCACCCCACTGCCATTTTTTTCTGCCTTCACTGCTAATGTTTTTTTAGCAGCATCTACAGAGCCCTTCACTGACTGTGCTCCCAATAAAATCGGTTCCAAAGAACCTGCAAGTCATGAGTTGTCAAATTCATTGACCCTAATCATTTATACTCTTGTGTCCTAGGGCAAGAGGGAAACACTGATGCAAGAGAGCATACACAATGTTGAGACTGACTGTGTAGGTGCATTTTGAAGGACATACTAGAGCAGCCTCTCAGCTCTGGACACTGTCTCCACCTGTCTCTGCTAGGGTATAGAACCATGACCATGCTCTCCCCTTTCCAGCCCCAGCCATTAGGAATGGCCCATAGTAAATCATTTGTGCCTCTGAACAACTGACAGCCCCAGCAGGATAGGATCAGTGTTTCATTTAAGGTCATTTGGTGAAGGCTGTTTTCAGCCTTATACATGCTGATGTATGAGCAGAGAAAGCCAGAAACGAGGGTGACATGCAGAAGAAAAGCACAAACTGGAAATATCTATGAGAAGAGGAGGGGGAAGGCAGCTGCCCCTCATCCCTGGCTCCCTCCCCTGTCCCCCATGGCTTGTCCACCAGGGACTGCATGGCTAGCTTAAAGCAGGGCCCTGCTCAGTCTATCTCAGGTCTTTAGATCTGAAGGACTTGAAGATGTTCTTTTCTTTGCAATCAGAGCCTTTATTAGTAGAACAAAACACTGGAAACCGTTTCAATGCCCAGCTATAACCAGCTCATTAAAAATCATGGTAGAGGGGCTGGGAAGATGGATCAGTGGGTAAAATGCTTACTGTGTAAGTACAAAGATCCAAGTTGGGACCCTAGCCCCATATAAAGAGCTATCTGTAATGTTATGTGTTTGTAGTCTCAACACAGGGGTACAGAGACAGGTGGATCCCTGAAGCTCATTAGCCAGCCAGCTTAGCTGAATTCATGAGCTGCAGATTCAGCAAGAAACCCTGTTTCAGTGGTAAAATGGAGAGCAGCTGAGGAAGACACCAGGTGTCAATCTCCGGTACACACTCGTACACACACACGTACACACACACACATACACACCAAGCACACACACAAACATACTCCATATGCACACTCACACACACAGTAGATTAGCATTTTCCACAATGAAAAATATGATGACTCAATAGATAAATGAATTTTTGGCAATAATCTTAACTATAGACTACATGACTGTGAAGCTGTGGCATTTATTTAAGAAAATCAGTGGAAGGCAATGAGCCCAGCATTTGTGGAGCACCTGCCCCTGCCACCATGGGGCAGGCATTGTTGGAAGCATTTTTAGATGAGGTTTGACAAGGTGAAATGACTTCTTTAAGTTTGTGCAGCTATGAAAGCCAGTTACCAATGTCCTTGGAAGGAGGCAGAACTTAGAGATCTGCTAAACTTTCAATTGCTTTTGCAAGGATGCAGGTTACAGAGTCTAGACATAGAACTGTGAGAACTTGCCAGTGCTATTTTCCACTGTTGTCCCAACATCCTCAGCATATCACCATGTCCATCCGGTGTTCTTCCACAGCTAGCTCTCTCCAGAATTGAACAAAACAGTCAATGTCACTTTTTTTTTTCAAGACAGGGCCTCACTATATAGCCCTAGCTAGCCTGGAACTCACTATGTAGACCGGGATGGCTTTGAACACACAGAGAGCCTCCTGCTTCTGCCTCCTGAGTGTTGGGATTAAAGGCATGTACCACCATGCCCAACCCTTAATGTCACTTTTTAATAAAGCAATTTCAAACCAAGGGAATTTTTCTGACTTTTCTGAGTTCAGAATACATGGCCCAAGAGACTGTAAGTTACTCATTGATATATTTTAGGATGTTCTGCTTCTGCTCCCCCCCCTTTTTTTTTTAAATATAAATCTTCAACCCTATCAAAGATACCTCCACATTCTTTCTGCCCCTGTCTTTCCCTTCCCAAGATGTGTCAGGTCAATTACCTGGCTGGTCCCTGGCTTGTGAAGGAGCTCCTTGAAGATCCAGCCAGTCCTCTGGTCTCCATGGCGATCCCTTGCTGCAGTGTAGCAGTGTCTGAGCATGGTGAGGGAGGCCTAGAAAATCAAAATGAAGCATGCTAAATTGATCTCAAGCACATCCACCTCCTGAACTGTCAGGAACGAGATGGACAGATGCCCACAGCAGGAGGAAAGCTGTCATCACTGTCTCAATCCAGGGATCCTCCACTTCTGTTCACCTCCAGCAGAACTTGACTGGGGATGAAGTGACCCTTTCTTTTACATTTACTTATTTATTTATTATTTATTTATTTAGTGGGGGAGGACACATGCCACTGTGTGAGTGGAGATCAGAGGACAACCTGTGAGAGTTAGTATTCTCTTCCTACTATGTAAGTCCCAGGGATTGAACTCAGGTCCTCAGGCTTGGCAGCAAGAATCTTTACCCTATTGTGCTACCTTTCAGGCCCCAGCTGACCTTTTCTTTATAGCAAGAGTGATCAATGAGGGCAGCTCATGTTCAGGTATCGTCTATGGGCTAAGTGAAGTTTCAGGAGGCAGCAGCAAATGTTGGCATGGTTTCCATCTGAGTGTGGAGCCTGGAGAGGTCCCATAACCTGCCCTCTTGGATCATAGCAGCTGCTTTCATGTAATGCTTCCAGGACAAAGATTTTGGTTCCCACACATATTTCTGACCTCCAAGGCCAGATAAAATGTCACCTCCTTCTAGATGCTTCTCTAGTATCTTTTCCCACTCTGTGTGTGCTGTGGATACACTTCCTGGGCAGTCATGTATGTACTTGTCTGGCAGCCTTCCTACCACCACAGGTAACAGGAGAGCCCAGATCTTTGCATGAACTGGGCTTCCTTTTTTCCTTCCCTCCCTCCCTCCCTCCCTCCCTCCCCTCCTTCCTTCCTTCCTTTCTTCCTTTCCTCCTTCCTTCCCTTCTTCCTTCTTTTCTTTTTCTCTCTCTCTCTCTCTCTCTCTCTCTCTCTCTCTCTCTCTCTCTCTCTCTCTCTCTCTCTCTCTCTCTCTCTCTCTCTCTCTCTCTCTCTCTCTCTCTCTCTCTCTTTCTTTCTTCCTTTCCAGGGTTACACTATGTAGCTTTGGCTGACCTGGAACTCACTATGTAGACCAGGCTGACTTTGAACTCACAGAGATCTGTTTCTGCCTCCCAAGTACTGGGATTAAAGGCTGAGTCACTACATCTGACTCAGAACAGTAATTTCAAAAGAAAATTCACTTGTTCTTTGCCAAACCACGTCTTTGTCCCCTGTAATGCAGAGGTGAGGGGGGCAGGGAGGGGCAGCTACAGCATCTGTGTAATTCAGGTAAAAAGCACATGCACTGTTAGGACAGGTAACCACACATGGGTATAGTACCAGCCACACCTCGGTACAGCAGAGTAGCAGAGCCTGGTGTCTGGTGAGCTGCCTGAAATAAGGCCAAAAATATGTTCAGGAGCATTTGTCTTTCTTTTTAAAACCTCCTAAGGTTGTTTGACCAACCTGATTAAAAACCAGTCAGGCACTGTCCCAGGGGATTTGCATTTCGCGGCTGACTCTTGAGGAACTTGCACAAGGCAAAGTAATTCTATCATGTGACCTAGTTCAAACTAATCCGCTTTCTTAATGAGGTGGTTGAAGCAGGACCCAAATTAACATCAGGGAAAATCTTCAATTCCCCCTGGTGAGTGATTAGAAGTCAGAATCCTTGAATCCCTGGTACTGAGCTGCTGCCCCTTCTAGCAGCATCCCTCCTACCTAGGAGCTCATTTGCATGACATAGCCTGTCTTTGTGCCTTCTGACAGCCTCTAAAGGCAGCAGGCACCCCTTTCCCCCAATTTCCTCATAGTGAGGTACTTTTTCTGCTGGAGCCACATGGAATCAGACAGCCCCATCTACTAGGTGGCCATCCTCAGTGCCAGGAACCTGTACTGTGTCTGGCTGTCCAGGCCTCAACTCACATTCACTCCTCAGGTTCAAGTCTCCCCTCACCACAGTCATCCCACTCTCACTATGTTCCTGAGATCTAGGTTGGCTGTACAGACAGACAGAGACCACATTGTTATTCCTGGGGCCAAGTCAGGAAGTCTGTGTTGGTTTGTATGGTTTTTGTGACCATTGGTGGTCACAACTGCCATCAACCAAAACCCAAAGTCTTATAACACAGGCTGTGGCGACTCAGATGGCTCTAACTTGTGTATGTGCAATTGATGTTTTAGAACCGAATATGGCTGTCTCCATTTATTTGAGTCATGATGTTTTGGGACCTTTGGCATGAAGAAGCATCTCCTCCCAATATACCACTGCAGTCACAAATGCAACAAAACACATACCATTGATTGACAGTTTACTGTGTATCACTTACCCATAGAAAAACCCTGCAAGAAGGAAATGGAAGTCCAGAGGAGCAAAAGAGATATTCTAATGTCATTCATTCCACCCCAATTCAAAGCTGCCCTCATCTACTCCATGAAACTGCCCTTTGTATTTTAACCCACAGCATAAACGAAAACAAAATTTATTGATTCATGACTGAGGACTGATCCCTGTGGCATGGCATCAGAGATTGCTCTGATTCATCTGACTGCATTTGTGGCCATGGATCTTTATTTCTAAACCACTAGATGCAACTCTTTTCCTATATCCTTAAGGAACAGCTCTCATCTCAGGGCTGGAGAGATGGCTCAGCGGTTAAGAGCACTGACTGCGCTTGCAGAGGACCTGGGTTCAGCACCCACATGGCGTTGCATGACATGGTTGTACTCACATATATGCAGGCAATACACGCATACACATAAAATAAAAATAATAAATAAAATATTTTTTTAAAAAAGAAAAAAAGAAACAACTCATACCTCATTTGCATGCACAGAAGAGTCCCTGCTAGAGGCCCTTGCTGCAGTGTAGAAGCCACGATTCCTTTACCCTCCAGAGTTTCTATAGACAACAAAGGTGGGAAGTACATCTTATAGCACCTCAGTCAGTCCCAGGAGGTGGGTCCTCTGCAAGAGCAGCCAGCACTCTTTACCACTGAGCCATCTCTCCAGCCCCAGTATTTACATTGTTAACTACACGACTGTGGTTATTTCTCAGAGAAACTGATCTTACTTAGCAGAAGGAAGGGAGATGACAGAGTAGAGAGGAACTTGATATCTCTGGTGACATTTGAGTTCCCAAGAAGACACAGATATTGAAGAAAAGGAGAAAACTTAGGTAATCAATGTAATGATGGGGAGCTAGAACCTTCCAAAGAAAACAGAGAGGCAGGAGACAGAGAGCTGCCAGGAACAGGCTCTGACCCTGACTCTGGTAACAATTTCAGGTGGCAATGCTGCCTTCCAAGGACAAATTGTTGTTGGCATTATTAGCATCAGAACCTATGTTCTGGCAGCTCTAACAAGTCAGACTTAGCTACCTGTTCTCAATAGGCCAATTAAAGAGAAGCCCTAAAAGTGGAAAGCAGAAAAAGATGTATTTAATGTGGCCCGCACTGGGAAGAGGGATAAAGAGATCCAGTGACACCCCAAGTCCATCTTTGAGGTCCTGGCATGAGGTTCAGTTTTAAATAGAGGGCTAGAGGTAGGCATGGCTAAACAGTTCTAGTCAAGGTGTGGGCCCATCCCTCCCTGGCCCAATTTTGTCTGGGCTGCAGTCTCTCCTGCAAGATGATATGACAAATTGTCAGCTCTGTGTGAAATCTCTTTCCAGGAGACAAATTCCCCTCTGGCTGGCATCAGGCTTCAACTGTTAAGTTGTTCCAGCATGAGAGGCCCCCAGAAGTCAGGAATTACAAGGACAACAGCAACAGGTATATACAATGAAGGGACTTTTGAAAGATGGGGGAAGTTTCAGCTTGTGATGCTTAACCTCCAGGTTTATTTGTAGAGAGAAGTGAGTGTGGGGGGTGGGCACAGGTTTTCTTTGTCTTCGACCACTGGGTAAATGCAGAGGTTCCCATTAGGACTGGAACTGGTAATTAGCTGTGCACTCTGTGGAACATCTGGTGTCTTACTTAGGTGACTCTGGGGACCCGAGAGCAAACAGAGGTGACCTGTTGGCACAAGGCTGCAGAACATGGTATCTTACTCTTTTCCTCTTTTCAAGCCCTGAGGACTGAGTGACTGAAATCATTCACACAAGTGACCAGGGAACTGAATGCATTTTATAGTCTTTGGTCCTGGAGAAGCAGGGTGAAAATGTGTTTCTTTGGTGATAATTGCTTTGGGCTCCGCTTAAAAAGCAACATGAAGAAATCTTCATTTCTATAGGACACACACCCCTGTGCCCAAAAGCTCACTCAAAATAGCTTCTCCGGGAGATGAACTGGGATTTGTGGTAGCCCAGACTGCAATTCTCTGTAGCATATTCTTAAGTCTTTTGCTATTGTATTATCTTCAAAATTATGCCAGATGGCTTCTAGATAACTGAGTCAAACTATTAAAAAGAAAAAGAAAAATTCAAGGCTTATGACACAGGGTCTTCCTATATAGCTGAGGCTGGCCTTGAACTCATAATCCTGCTTCCTCAGCCTCCCAAATGCTGGGATTATAGGCATACACCACCATGCCCAGCTTAAGATAGTTTTATTTCTGGTATTTTCAGAGTGTATTTTTTTTTAATTCAAAGGAAGCCTTTTCATCCTTTCTTATGACTTTCCTGTAGAAAAATAATTCTGAAAATTTAATAAAGAAAATGGAAATCCAGGCCTCCAATTTGTTGAAAGATCTGCAGGCGAGGCTGTCTCAGGGGACAAAGAAACCACTGCTCCTTCTTCTGAGGGGCACTTAGAGAAGGGCCAGTGACATACATGTACTGACAGGCTCCTTGCTATCATTGGAAATAAAGAATGATTGATATTTCAGTATACAAAGTCTCAATTATTTACATCAAAAGCTTTCTAAAAGGACTGGAATTGAAGGCAAAGATATGGTTTATAGAAACACGATTTCTCTCCCTAAAAGACCGATTTTAGACTTTAAATGTTTTGTTTATATGCTAGAGTCCTTTGTTCAATTTACATGACAAATAAATAAAATGCTAGGTTGGGTTGGAGAGCACTAGAGGGGGCCTAGACTCTGCCCCAAGACAG